GAAAAGATAATTTCTCAAAAGCAGCAGGTACCAAAAATGGGAGAAATGGATACTAAACAGCAACATGACAAATAACAGTAATAATGGCATCAGAAGGTAGCAATTGCCTAGGGCTGTAGGTCATTCTGTACACACGTACTAACTTCATTCATTCATTCACTGCTTTTCCATTTCTTAATTGTGATTACTATTTGTAGCAATGCTTTTCTTGTCCTAAAACCTAATGCTACTCTTTACAGAGAATTCTCTTCTGGTAAACTCAACTCCTCACCTCCTCCTCATTCATAAAAGATGATGTCTCAGGGTAATAGAGACAGGCTAAACCAGTAGTCAGCAAACTCCTTAGTCAACATAGCCAAATATCAACAGTACAACTATAGAAATTTCTTTTGAGAGCCAAAAACCGACTTCTGTGCATGGCCCATGAAGTTTCTATGGGACTGCATGTGTGTGCCCACACATGGTATTTTGTGGAAGAGTCATACTCAAGGGGCCAAAGAGCCGCATGTGGCTCGCAAACCGCAGTTTGCTGACCACTGGGCTAAACCATGTGTGGTGGTACCCTGTTTCCCTGAAAATAAGACAGTGTCTTATATTAATTTTTTCTCCCAAAGTTGCGCTAGGTCTTATTTTCAGAGGATGTCTTATTTTCGGGGAAACACGGTAGGTGAGACTAGAGGCCTAATTTCCAGGTCAAGAAGAGAGGATAAGAAGGCACAGATGCCTTGTGGGGGGAGGTCTTCACAGGAAGGCAGCCTGTCATCTGCTTATCTGCTGGGAGGGACGTTACAAGAGAGGGTTTAGGTCCCTCTGAGAACTGGTACATTCGGCGCTCTTGACTTGACCAGGTAGCTATTGTCTTTTCCTGCATGCCTGTCTCTCATTATCAGATGGGTCCTTTCTCCTCTCTGCTAGGTTTGTGCCTGTGCAGCCAAGGAATCATCTTTTAGACTGAGTGCAATTAGGAAACTCCAAAGTCTTAGACGTTTTATTGTATCTTTCAGAAGATTCTGCTCTTTTTCTTTACTAAGTCTTTGTCCAATACTTACAGTAGATCAGGCATTGTGTCAATGAATGCCAGTCAATGTAAATCTAATCCTTCTTAAGACAGGCATCCAACAATAGCAGAATTTAGGATTGTGTGCTGCCCATTGCTTTTTTCTTCAATAAATAGTTATGGTACAAAAAAAGACTATGACACCCTCTCATTGAAAATACCAAAGTTAATGAATAGCAGTTAATTTAAAATTTTAATTATAGTTACACATTAGAACTAGCTAATTATGAATACCTAAAGAACATCTCTAGGTAATGGCTCATGTAGATGAAAAATTAGCATACATACAAATTATGCCTCATTCCATGTTTCTTTGCAAAGCTAATTGCTAAGGGAACTACCTTGGTTAGGTTAGGAGCAAAGCACCAGGCACTTTGAAGGCTGTCTATGAACTCTTTCCACCAGGCCTCTCAGCCGTTCTCTGATTTCATGTCTGGAGGCCCACCGCCGAGCGGAGGTCTTATTTAGAAGTGTAAGTTACCGGGTGACTCATCTGCGAGAGATTATTATTCACATTATAGTTGAAGTTTAGAATCCACACCTGAAGATGTTTTTTTCCCATTTATTTTTAGAGAGTGGAAGTATGTGAGGGAGGGAAGGAGGAGAGAGAGGAAAAAATCATCAATGTGAGAGAGACACATCAATCATTTACCTCCCTCACTCGCTTTGACCATGACTGTGAATTAAACTTGCACTGGGAATTAAATCCGAGGCTGTTCAGTGCACAGGCTGACACTCTGAGCAATACCATCTAGGGCTGACATTCACTTTGAACAGGCCTGAAATGACTCCAAACTTTCCATGGGCTTGTTCTTTTTTCTCAAATGGTAGCCTGTTATTCCACATGATTGTGAATCTTCCAGGTGTAAATCTTTGACATTTAACTTGGTGTGCACACCAATAGGATGTGAGTGTATGTGATCACAACTTCTTCATCACAGCCTCAGTTTCCTCATCTATAAAGCAGGAGTAATGGTTTTGCTGTGAACAGCCCTGGGCGTCTGAGTCAGACTGTGTCCTCGCTTCAGAAGCTGCTGCCTCCAGCTCCTCTGTCACTTTCTCTGAGGCCCCTGGCCAGGAGAGGACCCTCCTCAGCAGGACTGTGTCAGGGTCATGCTTGTCTTCCACCCTGGCTGCATCAACCCCAGTAGATGCCATCTTCCAAAAGAGGAACAGAAAGATGTCTTTATTGGAGAAAAACCAAGAATGGTGAATGGATCCCTTTATTCACAAATTTGCCACAGATCACACAACCACATGAAAGGCTTGGGGACAGGGGTGGGTCCTGGTTGATAAAAGTCAGAAATCCTCTTCCTGCCCCACAGTTTCCATAATCCTCATTGCATCCAGCATCTGCACACGATTACATATTAACAAACTCGGGTCCCTGAAAATATAAACTATGAGTATAATCTCATGGAAACTGATCTTGGAAATGGAAAATTTTATATATATATATGCTAATTAAGGAGATATATATGTCTTTAATTAGCATATTTCTCATATATATATATATATATATATATATATATATATATATATGCTAATTAACTGGGATGCTGTAATGGGTCGACCGGACAGGAGGAAGTTGCATAAGGCAGCATCAGGGCCTGATCAGTAGGGTTAGTGGCTGTTTCAAGGGCCAGAGAGGGAGGCAGGGCAGGACCGGCAGTGGCCACGGCTGTTGTGGGGGCCAGAGAGCGAAGCAGGGCCGGACAGGCGACCCTAGGGTGGTCCACACCATGCAATTTAGAATTGCATGCTGGGCTCCTAGTTATATATGATCACAAATAATTACTTGTTCTCTAATTTGGTATCTGGGAACCAGTTTCTGAGCACACTGGTTCCTTTCTACAGTCACCCTCACTCTCGGAACAGTTCTGAGCAGCGATGCAAGTTCCGGTCCTAGGGAAGCATAGGGAAAACTCTGAGCTTTAGCTTAGAAACATCAGCAGCTGAAACAGAGTTAGGGACTTTCACGTCAGCAAACGCTGAGTGATTAAACTGGGCAACTTCTTTTCTAATTTCCAGCTGCCACTGCACTGTTGTAAGCTCACATCTTTTCTTGGTTGATTTTATGTGTGGGAAATTACCTCCCTAGCAATAAACAGTATTTTTCCTTTAATCTGTGGGTAAAGATACTGTTTTAAAGGGATGCCTCTCTGATATTTCACCTTTCAGCTTATGGCATTATGAATCTGTTGCTAATTTTAATAACATGATGATGTGTACTATACTTAGGAGATATACTTTATTATATATTTCTGCCAAGTGTTTTGTTTGTGTTTTATTTTGATATTTGAGGGTTATAATTTTAACAATATAAACAGAATCCAGTCTGACTTTAGAAGACCGTAGGTGTTCACATGCATGAACATGGATCTGTAAGGTCCCCGGAAAGACATTGTATGTCTATACAATCAAAAGAAGAACCTCTCTGGTGGGAGTGTGGGTTACCTTATCGCTATCATCTGCTCAGATTTAATTCTGAAACCTACCCATGTTTGGTCTATCAATCCCAGCGCTTATAGCAATAGAATTGATGGGGAAAGCAGTCCAAAATATAGATCAAATAGATCTGCCTTTCTCACTGTTCTGTTGATATAAATCTCCTTTGAGTGGATGCTGTTATGCTCAGGATGATGGCTCTGAGTGAGCGGACACCAGCCCACTGGTGCTCGTCAGAACCTGCCTGCAGGACACCTGTCACCAGTGGTGATCGCACTTCCCTTGAGCACTTCCACACGTGACGACTGTTGGGACTGAGCCTTAGACTAAGATTAAGTCTGTATTTTGTAATGTTTACTCTTGTCTCACACTCACCATATGCATTGTTCCAGAAGCCTGACATTTTATCTACAAAATACCTATTCAAATACTTCCACTGCCATCGCCATCCCATGAAAGTCTTATTTTTTATTCTCTCAGCTAAACAACCCCTGTCCTTACAACATTTTTCCTGTGGATGATTTCTAGACCTTTTATTGTTTTCCTGCTTCTGTTTGCAGAGCAATCCTTCCTAAGTGTTGGTAACTGTTGCAAACAGTGGGAGTTTAAGTGTACAAGGACTGTTTCAATTACTGTCAGAGAGGAAGAAGGAAGGTTTATGTGGGCCCAACTCTCTCAATCTACGCTTCTTCATATTTCTGTGAATGTGACAGGTGTCTTCTGGATGCCTACTGAGCAATGCTTTCATTTTACCTCAAAGGGATTTCTCTATCAAAAAATATGAAGATCTCATTCATGCAAAATGCTGTTCCCTTTCACACTCTGTTCATGCTGACATTCATTTTGTTAGTTTTGTTTATAATTTCCCCTTAGAAAATTCTCTCAACATTTTTATCCTATGTTCTAATGTACTAGCAGCCTCGCCCAGGCTTGCATCTCTACCTTCTGGTGACCAATAAATGGAAAAATATTAAAATATATTCTAAAAAAAAAACTCTCCATGACTATATAAGTTAAATATGTAAATGACAATAAAATAGATTAATTAATACTATCTGAGAGCATAATTTCAAGACATAATTCTAACAAACTAGATATTTATGTAGCCACATTTCTTTAATGTGGCCTAGTTGGCTAGAAGAGAAACATTCATAAAATACCTTCCAAAAATTAAGATTTTCTATTTCTGAAGCTTTTAAATTATAGACCATTTCTAGTATCAAAACAGGAAGTATTTATTTTAGTATCATTTACTCTTCCTAAACTATTGGTAGTTTCTGGAGATAATTCCTATTATTAAATAATATTATGCCATATATGAAAAAGTTACATAAACTTTAAAAACACTATGCATTGTAAAGGATTACCAACGGTTGGAAAGATCTACTTACTAATGATATGTTCTAAAATGTTTTTGTAATTTAACATTCAACATGCGGGTCAGGAGTTTTTAGAATGCCCAAGAACACACTTGTTTTGGCAGCACTTGCTGCACCTACCACAGCCCATCAGCTACCCAAATAGGAAATAGAGGGTGCCAAAAGGTCAAGCTTAATTATGCTAAGAGGGCTGTGCCCTCTAAGCTGGGATTTGTTTGTGGCTTTGCCAACAGGTCAGTCTAAGGCTTAACCCTATATCCACTCCCTACATTTCACCCTTCTTTCATTTTTAAGCTACTATAATAAAAGTAAAACTTAAACATCAAGGACAAAGCTCTGACTATTAAAACAATAACAAGGACAATGCAAAACCCAAACTACAGAAATGTTAAAATTTTAAAACTTGAACATCAAGAACAAAACTCTGGCTACTAAACCAATAACAAAACAATGCCAATGCAACACAGCAATAAGAGAGAAATCAAACTACAGTAACATTTTTCTACTAAATGAAAGTTTCTTTTGCTGGTTTATTCAGAGTTCTCGTACTTGGCTTTGCAAGACTTTACAGAAGACTGGCAGATAACCAATGTAGCATGGCCAGAAACATGGTTGAGGGAGTAGCTTCCACTTCTTGCTTTTCTACCATCTGCTGGGCCTCAGTTGTTAACTTCTTCAGCTGACCCCATGTTGGCACCTAGGGCTCTTGCGTAGCCTTCATTTCTTCTTTTTTGCTTTGCTGTCATCAGGGCAGCTCTCAGTCTTTTGAATGATGGGACAGGAGCTTCTCTGGGTCCATTGTGGTGACACATGTAACACTCTGGCATCCAAATTGGCTGCTCTGCTCCTTCTGGAAAGATATAAAACACAATCTCTTCCCCACATCATTACTGGATCTGATAAAACTCTCGTCTAGTTTGTGCATCCTTCCACCTGGCTAACCCTGCAGAGGCTATTGTACAGGAGGCCTGATGCCTTTCGGCCACAGTACAACTCTCTGCATTGTAATTAAAAAAGTTTAACACATAACATTCTTCTTCCCTCCACCCTTTTTTATCATTGCTTTTTAAGAGTAGAATTGGCTCTTTCTGCTATTGTCTGAGTCTTGATCTATCACCCCAGGGAGAGCTTGCCAATCCTGTGCTTGGTTTACTGAGCCAGCTGGAAAGGCTGCAGTGGGGTCAAGGATAAGGACCCTACTGTCTGGTGGGACCAGGGATGGCCCCGCTTGAAGTTTCCCTGCCTATGGGAGCATTGGGTTATCATCATCATCAGTCTCGGAGTGGCATTCTTTTACCCAGTGCTTTCTCTCATGCATCCTGAACATAGTCCAGCTGCTTGTTCCCACTCCCTGCAGCCCTTTGGCTTTCATTTCTGGCATTGCAGTCTTCAGCAAAATGCTCTAGTTTGCCACAGTTAAGGCAGCTCCCTTTCCTTTTCTGCTGACCAGTGAGTATGGCAGTTAATACTATTCCCCAAACGTAGATTGTCCAATGTCAGCACAGACATGAATAAAATACATCCATGAATAAAATACATCCAAGTAGTCTCCAGGTGAGAGATAAGCCTTTGCAACAATATTAAGCCTCTGGTAACCTTCAACTATCCGTCTTAGTTCCCCTGCCACATTCATTCATTCCCTTTCAACAGTGGGCTCTAGGCAGTCCCAAATCAGGGACCACAGACTGAAAGTAGAGAGAGGAATTCTCCCTGGACCTTCAGCTATATAATGATATCTAAGTTGCTTTTATACCTTCTTCCATGCCTCTACATTTACCTTTCCTTACTCAGGAAACCATGGGCAGGTTTTAATTACAAAATCCAACAAATCAGAGATCCAAGATGGCTGCGCCCAGGTGAACACCTAGCCGCAGCCGCACACAACAATTTCAATAAAATACAACTAAAATATAAAACGGACATTGCCCAGAACTACAGGAAGGTTGACTGACTGGAAATTCTACAGCGAGAAGCAAGGAGAAAACCAGAAGGAGGCGCGAAGGAGCTGGAAAAGCCCAAGGTACGGAGACGCGGAGAAGACGGAGCCGGAGAGGAGGGAGGCCGAGTGCCTGGCGGGCATTCCAGAGCGGAAAGGAGAGAAAAGCTCCGACTGTGCTGGGCCCCCAACTGCTCTGAACCCCGGTTCTGGGCCAGACCCCGGGGACTCAGGCTCAGCCATAGGGAGCCGGGCTGTAAGGCGGAACCCTGGGGAGAGGTGAAAGGAGGTCCCGGAGGCGCGCACACTGCGCGCAGAGAAGGGACGGTCGGCTGTGCCGCGGGATTGCCCTGATGGGAAGGAGACCTGGGCTCCAGACTGCTCTGAACGCCACCTCCAACTTCACTTCCAACTGAACTGAACCCCAATACCGTGCTCATTGGGGGAGAGCATAGACTGTTTGGTAGCAGGCAAAAATCGAGGGCACCTTTCTCTCAGAGGCGCCTGCAGCGAGCACTGACAGACCCGCATAGGGCGGGGCTGACAGAAGCCAAAGCTGCAGGCTCCACCCTGAAACCCCGTCCCATCTGTAACTGCGAAATGCGACAACAAAATAGATCACAAACGAAAGAAATGGAGGACAAAAAGTGTCTGGATATAGAGTTCAAATCTACGCTTATAAGGTTTTTCAAGAATTTCCTAGAAAAGATGGATAAGGCCTATGAGGATATGAAAAGAGATCAACTAGAATTAATAAGGAGTCAACAAGAAATGATAAGGGATCAACAAGAAATAAAGAATACATTGTCTGAAATAAAAAATATTTTACTGAGTCCTAAAAACAGAAGGGAAGATCGCAAGAATCAAGTCAAAGATTTGGAACATAAAGAGCCAGAAGACACTCCTCCACAGAAGCTAGAAGGCAAGAGAATCCAGAAAATTGAAGATAATGTAAGAAACCTCTGGGACAACTTCAAGCGAACCAACATCAGAATTATGGGGGTCCCAGAAGATGAGAGAGAGCAAGATATCAAAAACATACTGAAAGAAATAGTGACAGAAAACTTCCCCTACCTGGTGAAAGAATTAGACTTACAAGTCCAGGAAGCGCACAGAACTCCAAACAAAAGAAATCCAAAGAGGACCACACCGAGACACATCATTATTAAAATTCCAAGAGCAAAAGACAAAGAGAGAATATTAAAAGAAGCAAGAGCAAAGAAGGTAGTAACCTACAAAGGAGCACCTATACGATTGTCAGCTGACTTCTCAACAGAAACCATGCTGGCCAGAAGGGAATGGCAAGAAATATTCAAGGTGATGAATAGCAAGAACCTACAGCCAAAAATAATCTACCCAGCAAAGCTATCACTCAGAATCGAAGGCCAGATAAAGAGCTTCACTAATAAAAAAAAACTAAAGGAGTTCATCACCACCAAACCAGAATTATATGAATTGCTGAAGGGGGTTCTTTCAGAAGAGAAAGTAAACAAAGATAAAAATTATGAACAACAAATACATAACTATCAACAAGTGAATCTAAAAACCAAGGAAATTAAAAAAATCTGATGAACAATATTAACTGGTGAATATAATAGAAACAGAGGTATGGAAGGGGAGTGAACTGACGATTCTTGGGGAAAAGGGGAGAGGGGGCCGTGGGAAGAGACTGAACAAAAACTGTGCACCTATGGATGAGGACAATGGGGAGAGGGGAAAGGGCAGAGGGCGGGGTGGGAACCTGGTGGAGGAGAGCAATGGGGGGGGGGGGGAAGGAACATTTGTAATAATATGAACAATAAAAACTTATTAAAAAAAAAATCCAACAAATCAAAAAACTGTTGATAACTCACACAACAGTCCCATGCTTGGAGCATAGCGTTAAGCATGGATATGTCCTACGATCCTGAATTTCCCATGTTTTACACCTAGTTATCACTAAACTTCACTCCTTACCTTCCTTTTTGCTTTCTGCACATCCTTCACTGGATCTTCCTTTCACTTGACAACTGCACTTCCTCTAAACTCAGACCCCGCATTGGGTGCCACATGTGCTGGGCCAGCACAGCAAAGGGTTTGGTGAGCCTGAGGAAGAGCCAGTGAAGGATGAAAAAAAGACAAAGAGAATAAGCTGGGTCTAGGTGGCTCTCTTGTGTCTGGCTGATACCACAGAACATATCCAGACAGCAAGCTGAGCCTTTATTTTACAGCCAGGAGTAAACAAGGTAGTGGTCACCATAGTTATAATGTTCTTGTAAGTTTCACTTGTTTGGCAGCACTTGCTGCACCTCCCACAGCCCATCAGCTACCCAGATAGTATATAGGCAGCTCATAAGGTCAAGCTTAATGATGCTAAGAGGGCTGTGCCCTCTAAGCTGGGACTTGTTTGTGGCTTTGCCAGTCTGAGGCTTAACCCTAGAGTCACTCCCTACACACAAGCACATGGAATTAATGTGTGGATGAGGGCCTGTAGTTGATGGCAATGAAAGGCCCTTTGAGCAGCTAGTTTGAGCTCCCAGGTAGCACTTGACCCCTAGAACAGCGAGGAGGACTAGGAGGATTGGTGTTGGCAGAGTCTTCCCTGAGTGCACTTGAGGGAACAAGAGAAAATGACAAGCTCGGGCCTGTTAACTCTCAAAATCACCCACTATCAGAGAATCAGAGAATTTCCATAGTAGTCTGAACTAAGCTCTCACTTCCCATAGCTGCAGGGTTGATATTGCTGAAATCAAACACAAATGTCAATGTGTGGGTTGCTATATTGCAAAACTGGTTGAATTCAGCCTCAGCAAGTTCTCCTTTGGGAAGTGAGGGCCTTGGGTGAAGGCTGGGTCCCTGAATGTTGAAATGTATGACCTTGTTGGACACACAGGAAACAGACAACCTCAAGTAGTAAACCCAGCAGGTCTTAACCCCTCCCTCCCATCACTCCCAGCAGCCTTTATCCCTTCCCTCCCATCACTCCCAGCAGCCTTTATCCCTTCCCTCCCATCACTCCCAGCAGACTCTAACCCTTCCCTCCCATCACTCCCAGCAGACTCTAACCCTTCCTCCCATGACTCCAGGCAGCTTTTCCTCCTTCCCTCTTTACTGACATCAGATTTTAGCCTGGCTATGCACTCAGGCTGGAATCTCGGGCCCTTACAACACCTTTCTGAGCTGCCTCAGTGTCCTCCCTGTGAATGTGGGTTATGTCACCACCTCGCAGAATTATCATGGCTCAATAAAATAATTGCTGTAGACCAAATAGAACAGTCCCAAATTGTTGGTTTTCTCTTTTTCCCCTATCCCATCCTCCTCCAGTAACTGAAGGTGGGAAGGATTAATTGCCTTGTGCCTTAGTCCATTGGACACAAAAGCTATTCATCTGAATGAGGTCAGGTAGACGTGCAGGCATTTGGCTTCTGTGATGCATCCCTAATGGGTAGTGCCGTGTGTATCTGCACAGGGCCCATTAGACGGTGAGCTGTCTGGGTCTTTAGGAGGAAGAATGATGACTCACATAGTACATTTCCTGCCTTCCGTGCCGTAGCCTTCATTCTCCGCCTTTTTAACAGAAAGTCCTTCTGCAACAAGAATATTTGAAAACCATATCCTGCTGATGGGCTGCTATATTGGAAACCAAGAAATGGCAAATGCCCCAAAACCCACACTATCAAAAAGTGGTAGGCAGGGCATGGTGGGGCAATGGATACAAAACAAAACAAAAACAAAACAAAACAAAACAAAACCAATAGGTCTGTTCCTAAATTAGAAACGGAATTCAATCCTGAAGACTGGCTGGGCAGCTCAGTTAGTTAGAGCATCTTCCCTGTACCAAGGTTCCTACCTAAAGGATCAGGCATGCAGACCTGGTACAGACCTGAGTTTTAGACACAAACGTGTGGAGGGAGCTGCCGCATACGCTGGCTCCAGCCTCGCGGTG